TTCACTGACTACCTGTCTTATATGCATACCAGCCCAGCCCCTGGCTTCTTTACTTTTCATTCCATCCAGGAAGAGCACACACCAACTGCTGAAACTTCCTTAGCCTAAGGGTTTTTGAACCTGAAAGCTTGCTTTAAAATTGTTTTCCAACTATTTAAGTTGGTCTAATAAAAGATATCAGATTCACCCAAAGAACCTTGTCTGCCTATGTCCTTAGACCAACATGGCTACAACCCACACCCCTTTAAACAGTTAAATAATATAGAATTAGATTTGTAAAAAATATGCAAAATAATTGAGAATTATTTTTCTCATTGAGAATTTTGCCAAAGGATGAACTAAGTCTAAAATTATACCATTCTTTTATGAAAAATCACGGAAGAATTGATCTTGACTCCTGGGTCTCCAGGTAGCCTTAGTATTCAAGAGGTTAGTCAGTGGATGAAGGAAATACTTCTTGCAGGTATGCCAAGATCTGAATAATATATACAGGTCCATGCCCTGTGCATCTTGGCAGTAGTATAATGAAGGGTGGGCACAATTTAGGAGGGATGCCAAAATCATCCCACACTTCTACATATTCTGTACCCTGGCAGCAAAAGCAGCCTCAGTTTGGTATTGCAGCAGCAGCTGGTGAAAGTAGGGACCAGATCAAAAACATCAAAAGGTCCGCCTGAGCTTATTAACCCATCAGGCTACAGTGGTTAAGGCATACCAGGATCTGTAGCCAATGGAACAGAGGGGACTGAGGTGACATCCAGTCTAGCCACCTGCAGCTCCCCAGATAGAGTGATCAGGTGACCATTTAGAGTTGTCACTGGGGTACTAGTCTGGAGCGAGGCTCAAACTTCTGGGAGATGCATTTACACTGTGTCCCCTTCTCCCCAAGTGCTTATTATTGATTGCAGGCCTTTAGCCTGGGATTTTCAAAGGATTTAATATAGTCAGATATGCAATTCAAATAGGAGTTGGGTTCCAAAGTCCCTTAGGCTTCTTTGAAAAAGCCCAACCTTATAGTATTTTTTAATCTGCAACAAATTATACAGAAAGTCTTATTCAAGTCTGGATTGTGTGCATTGGCCACTCTGTTCCTTTGGGGTGTAGAGATGGCCAGTAGAAGATTTATTTACAAGCAAGTTTTAGTTTTAATCTTATATTGAGAACTGCAGTAGGACTCATGTAGCATAACAGCTTTTTTCTGACTCTCTGCACCAGAGAACTACGTAGGAATGAACAAAGTACAGTTCTCCCTGAGAGGCATGAATCTGTGAAGCTCCACAGTTCTCAAAAGGAAGTTCCTTCTTTGAGAAGATACTTTAGCTAATGAAAAATGACAACAATTGCTCATAAACCCACTGTCCTATATGCATTCCTTCCTTTAGAGTGAACAGCGAGCATCAAGACAGCGAACACCTCACAACAAGCAGATAAAAAGGTCAAAACAAACTTGAGCCAATTGTCTATTATTTGGTTTGGTAGAGTGGAATCCAGTTTGATTTAATTAGATGAAATACCAAGCTATTCACTTCCCTTAGTCAGCTTTCCTGAATGAATGATACTAAATCACCCACCCAAGAGTTCCATGAAAGCATTTACAGTTTATTATCACTGCCAACTGTTTTCTTATTTTGTAAAAAAATAGCTAGTGTCTTTTGAAATAATTAGCTAGTTGTTATACACTCAAAGATAAAGGAAAACAAGAGCAACAACAGCTCTACCAGTTTTTATAATTAAAAATATATAGCTTGTATGTAAAAGTGACTTGTATTTAACAACTTTAACTTTTTGTAAGCCTTTAAGAAGCATTTTCAATTTTGGAAACTTAAGCCAATTTAATTGTTACCAAAATGATGATGGTAAAGCTGGCTGTATTAAATATACAAAAACTCCTCAGCTGCATATCTGGATAACTGGTAGAGATGGAATAGGAATTAAAGAAGAAATGGGTGGAAGGTAAAGTGGAATTTATGATAAAATGTACCACACAGATTTCTATGTTGTTGGTTATTGTCCTAAATTACAAATTACTTCCTCATTTAACTAAAAAGTCAGAGAAGTTTGATCTGTAACTACAGTCTAATTTAAAACTGTAATTTAATTATTGACTGATAAAATTTAGTTTCAAAAGTTTGTCAGAGCAGAAATGCAAAACTTGTATACAATCCTTTTGTTGCACCTAAGCAGGTATTGACTGCTTCATCCAAGGACACCTCAAACTAGAGACCACCAGTGATTAAATATAGTTTAGTTTTCCATTAAAAAGTTTCTTTTGACTAGAATTTTACAGAATCTAGTCCAGGAAAGTTAAAGACTCCACATTCATCTGACCTGGAATAGACTGCTCTTTATGAAAGCTTGACAAAATCACAGTGAATCAAAGAACAGGCCTGCAGCTACCAAGGTTTTACCTGAGTCTAATCTAAGGGTTATTGTAAAACTCAATGCATAATTGAAGATTCATTAAGACAAACTTCCCAGATTAAAAGCTAGGTTTACTATGTGAACGAAAGATTCTATTGAGTAGAATTGCTTCCATGCTGTTTGAAGCCTGTTTTTTCTTCTTTTTTTTATTTCAAGTATAAAGAAACAGCCCAAGGAAAGTGAATCTATAATCAGGTCACTTGTTGGTTTCTAATGTCTAAAATATAGCAGCTTTATGCATGAAAACTACCTTTGTAAACTTAAGGAAAACTGTACAATGAATCTTCCTGGGACACTGCACCAAATAGGTCAGAATGTGAAAGTACAGTTCCCTTTCCTAATGTTTTGTTTGGTTGAGATTTGATTCCCAGATCTTAAGCAAGGGGAGACAAGACAATATGGCATTGATGGCTGTCTAACAAAGTGGGAGAAAGCTTCCATTTATTTAACCTGCCCACCCCACCAACCAAACTTTAGTTTAGAGATTACACACACACACACACACACACACACACACACACACAAACACACAATTTGGAAGTGCCCTTATTTGTAGGGTGGTAAAGAGTTTCTTGTCAACACAGTGGCAGAAAGGGATCTTGGAGTCATTGTTGACTCCAGAATGAACATAAGCCGCCAATGCGAGGAAGCGGTCAATAAGGCTAACCGTACCTTGTTGTGAATGTACACATGCATCACAAGCAGGTCCAGGGAGGTGATCATTCCCCTCTAGGCGGCATTGATCAGGCCACAGTTGGAGTACTGCATCCAGTTCTGGGTGCCGCACTTCAAGAGGGATGTGGCTAGCACTGAGAAGGTCCAGAGGAGGGCCACTCACATCGTCAAGGGGCAGCAGGGCAGGCCCTACGAAGAGACGCTAAAGCACGTGAACCTATTCAGCCTCCACAAGAGAAGGCTGAGAGGGGATATGGTGGCCATTTACAAACTAACCAGGGGGGACCAGTGAGAATTGGGGGAAGTTCTGATTCCCCCGGGCACCACCTGGGGTTACTAGGAATAATGGCCACAATTTGTTAGAGAGAAGGTTCAGGCTGGACATCAGGAGACATTACTTTACCGTTGGGGCTGCCAGGTTCTGGAATGGGCTTCCAACTGAAGTGGTACTCTCCCCTTCCTTGGGGGTCTTCAAGAGGAGGCTGGACAGATATTTGGCTGGGGTGATATAACCCCTGAACCAGTTCCTGCCCAGGGCAGAGGGTCAGACCTGATGATCTGTTTAGGTTCCTTCTCACCCTAAGCACTATGGTAATGATGATAACTATGATATTCTCCAGAAAAAACAATAGATGGGAAGCCATATACCATCACTTTTTCAATTTAGGGAGGCGATATTTAATTGAAGGAGAACGGGAATGGGGGACAACCTAGGAAATCCATTCAAGGAATAATCACAGGTGCAAAGAAAGCAAACCAAATGGCACAAGAACAATGCACATTCTAATGATAAGTTAATCAGGACTAGTACAGCTTCCCTTGGTATTAGTGTAGGTACAAAGCATTTGAAATTACAGGGCAAATTATATTCCAGATTCAGGGATTGGTGCATACCATGCACCAATCCCTCAGCCTGGAATATAATTTGTCCTGTAATTTCAAATGCTTTGTACCTACACTGCATGGGCTACTGAAGACAATGTGTGACATTCCATTGACTTCAGTGACTGCCAATCAGACATAAATGTACATTCAATCTGTATTTATTAGTTTAATGGTTATTCTACTGAAGTCAATGGCGACACTCTCAACAACTTCAAAGGGAGAAGAAATAGAACCTAGGGACTTGATTCTATAGAACAGGAGGAAGGATCGTTTCCTACACAACTTCAGAGAACAGGGATCTTTGTCAGTAATACAGTATGATATTATTTTTATAATACAAATATTATATGGATAAATACAGTAATCCATGTTCATGCAGATACAGATCATGGCAACTGTTGATCCTCCTGAATCGTGGTATAGGCATGAGGGCCACCCAGACCTTCAATGCATATACGTGGGCAGGAATTTTTGGAGGAATGGAGGCTGCACAGACCTTCCATCCTTCCTTTAGGTCATTGAAACAGAATCCAAAGACCAGGAGGAGTCCAAATGTCTAGTCATGGCTGTAGCTGCATGTGTCCCAGAATTAAACCCAGGTTTCTTGTGTGGTAGACAAGGATTCTACCACTGAACCACAGGGGACTTCAGAGATACAGATACTGTACTTTATATATAATATATCATGCCACAACTTATACAAATATTATTATTTAAATCTACCATCCCCTGTTTGGCATAAAGATAAAGACCTTTGAATTGAAGGCATCAGTTTTTAGATGTTAAATTTATTTTTGCCTATGATTCACTAATGAGCTATAACAGACAGTTGTAAGCAGTTTATTTGCTAAGTAGTTACATAGCCTGTTTCCCTTGGTGCTGCCACAGAGATGTGGATAATTAAAGTCTTTTGGGGGCCTGGTACAAGATATTTCTACTTGCTGAATTACATTAATGAAGTTCAGCAAGCTGTAGTTATGTAACCTACTGACGCCGTTTTTATACACAAACATGCTTACCTCCATTATCCTTTAGGTGCAAAGCTATCTTGGTATCATCTAGAAAGGAAATTCAGAGTCAGTAAAGCAGGCAAATTTATTTAGGTCTTAAATATCCTTAAGAATAATCTTCTACATTAAGAGAACACGATTTGGTATATACTCAGCAGGATCAATCTGAGATAGTATTAGTCATAGTAGGTACAGGCAGTTGTAACAACCTGAGGTCCTTTCCAACCCTAATTTTCCATAATTCTATGATTCCATGTTAAAGGATATCAATACAAACTACTGTATTTACTTGAATCTATGATGATCCTGAATATAAGGTGACCTGCCCCCAAATTATTAGATTCTATAGAAGGAAAACTTACAAATTTGTTTTCATCTCCCATGTACATAATCTAATTATTGGTCATCTTTAATTCACCCCCTGCTGCTGTGGGGTGGCAGGTGTTGTGGGGAGTTCAAGTAGTTTGCCTGCTGCTTGTACCTGCCCACTGCCACCTCTGTCTCCTGCCTGCCTTCCAGGAGCCTTTGATCCCCCTCCACGCCCTCCCCCACCCCTGCTGTTCCCTCCCTCCTCCCTTACCCTTGCTCTGCACTGTCAAGCTCCATCCTCATCTTAGCCTGGGGCACTAAGGATGATCCTAACCCAACCTCCATAGCAACTGTGCACCACTGTCAGGGTTGGGCTGAGGCTCTACTCAGTGCTCCAGGCTGCAGTGTGCATGAAGCTTGCCATGGAGCAAGGGTATGAAAGGGGGCAGGGAAAACAAAGGCTGCATTTGGAGAGGGGGGTGGCTGCAGGGAGGAGATGGAGGGGTGCACAGGTGTGGGGAGGTCGCAAGCAGTGGCTGTAGCTATGACCCCAACCTTGGAGCCCAAGCCACAACAGCTGCCTCCCCTACAGACTAGTACTCAATTCTAAGATGAGGGTCCCTTCACTGTCACTGACTCAGTCACTTTGGTGTGAAATATTGAAGAAAATATTTGTGGAGAGTGCATATTAATGGAAAACAAGAGTATGAACTCATTGGGACAAAAGGCCAGGGTGAAACTTTAAAAAGAATTTTAATGTTGTGTTGGTTGTTTTCAGACGGCCAACATTAGACCCTGGGTGCCTGACCCACAATAATAGAAGTTTCTTCATTGATCCAGGTTCATATGGCTTGAATTTTTTCAGCTAAACTGAGCACTTCAAGTCTCCAAGCTTTATAACAGAAGTTGTCCGAGACAGATCGTATATCTAAACAGTACCTAGAGGGCTTTAAACTAAGTTCGTCGGGGGACGGGGATCCACA